TTCTAAATAATGCGTTGTACTTGGATTGTTCAGGAACGCTTCACTACCTACAGACCCATTTAGAGAATTAGGCTCTCATCAGTAGAGGGGTGTCCCCAGATGGCATTCATGAATGCCATCTCGTTTTTAATACCCATGAGGCGTTCGGCCACTGCGAGATAGACACGAACGCCACCTAGGGTAGAAGGAAGGAAACACTTCAAAACAAATTTCCATTTCAGATGAAATTGAATTGGTTGATTGCTCGACAGGCGTAATTTCAACTACGAGGAAGCCAAAATGCTCAAAGTAGAATGAAATGTTGAATACATATTAATAACTCAAAGGCATTTCCACAAATGTTCATAAATGAACGAAACTGGTAGATAACGAGATAAAATTGACTATACATTCCTGGCTATATGCCACTCAGAACATTGAATTATATCCTCCAGAAATGTTTGCAATCTTGAGGTGATATAAAAAGTGAACACCCAAGTACACAATACCAGTGTCGGCTCCTCAGAGGAGGCAACGGAGGCTGAGCCTCCTCAGAGATTTTCCATAAATTGATATTATCTATACTTTCTCATTGAAAGGACACCAAAATACATGGATTTTGATTTCATTTCCTGTTTTTAGGTAAATATTTTGGAATTGGCAACAGTTCTTGCCCACACATCACACGTTGAAGTCTGCAAATCACGCGTAAAATATTCAACTTGGCAACATCTATAGGAGGCTAGACTCCTTCACAATGCGCAATCCAGGCGCGCAATGCAAATGCCCGGATACGCCCGAATAGTACGTGTTTGTCGTGTCACGTCGCGAATTGCGGACAATCCAGCGCGAGTGCATTGTTTATGTTTATGTTAGGTTAATGGTTAGGGGATCCATAAATTTCTGAAAAATTAGTGTTTTAAACGATTGCGATTTAGTGGAATACTCTTTGATGAACCCATTCAGTGCTCTGTCTTATGAAGATAAATTGATTGTGAAAAACAAACGTCCGACACCGGAATTAAAAAAATTGATTGTAACAGGTAACAAACAGAATCGTTCGTTCAATTCTGATAATTAGAAAAAATATATCTGGTTGACGGGATCTGAGGTAAGGAATAAGCAATTTTTTTGGTACTGCGTATTATTTTCAACCGATAAGTCATCATGTTGGGGGCGATTAGGATAAATAATGATTTGAAAAATTTGCCTCGCGGAATGGATAGACACTGCAAATCACAGGAGCACATCTCTTCAAGTATTAAGTTCAGGTTAACTGGTAAACAGAATGTCATTGAAGCTATTGATTTGGGTGAGTAGAGAGTTGTTTTTCACAATGAATCTCATATCACTTTATCAAAACTCATTTATCCATAGAACGGCTAGGCTCTGGAATTCATTGCCTGAGGAAGTATTCCCAACAACATATCATCTCCAGAAGTTCAAAAAAAATTCCAATACCTACCTCCTATCCCTATCCTCCCTAGGAACGCACGATGTCCTTTGAACATTATAGGGATTTCCTTTCGTGCGCTCCAAGCGATAAAAAAAAATCATTCAGCCTCCTATGTCATGAAAGGCACGAGCCGCCACTGCACAATACCTGATGCAATGCCGATTTATATCAAATTGTTATATGCGAAATATTTCGATTCGAATAGGTTTGCTCAGTAGCTTTGAATAAATTTATCTACATATAGGTAGGTGATATCAGCTTCCTTTCCGAATTACTTTTGAGAAACATCAAAAATGTATTTGATAACTTTCATGTGTTTTTCTTTCAGAGTAAACACAGAGGGTGAAATTTTCGTTCGCAATATTTATCTTTCTCTCAGTATTCTGTAGCCAAGTCACATTCCATCTAGCAATTATCGTAAATTTTTTGTCGCTCTCGCGTTTTTTTACGCTTTGACTTCCTCTCCTTCATTCAAATATGTAGCCATTAGATTTTGTAGCTCCACTTTCATCGTTTGAATAAAAAATACTGCGATATACCCGTTCGAATCTATCGCGAATGCATATTTCAAATTATCAAATCAAGAAATATCAATCGACCAGAAATTCGAATCTTTGAAAAGAGTCAATCGAAAGACTATGGTGTACCTACCATTGAATTCTTCTTCTAATTTTCGCATCGTTTTATTTCCTGATAGATTCTTCGAAGAATAGCTATACACTATACAGCTCTGCTCTGAAACTAAAACCTTGCTTAAAAGATACTGTTCCCACTTCTGAATTTTAACTCATATCAAATAAGTCTATTCTGTTGTGGTCAGAACTAGCCAAACATCAATCTTTCACTCACAGATATAATTCAATGTTCGACATGTCAAATTGCCAGGAAAGAAGTTGTTTTCTGTTGAATAAACCGAGAAGGAATTAATATTTTTTCTGTGACGGGAAAAAAGTTTGGCATTTCATCTCTGTTGGCAGGTTATAAAATGTCACTTTTCATAAATTACTTTTTTCCCGTGGGAAAAAAGTGAGTACTTCTTTCCCGGATATATATCACATATATATACTCTGTTAATGGCTTTTGTTGTGCTATAGTTCCGAAAAATAGGTCAATAATACCGTCTCCGAGAAAGAACTGCAAGTCTTTTTATCTTCCATTCGACTTCGCGGTTTCGTATATTACTAAAAAACTACTGAATTCGCAATTTTTTAAAATCAAATCACAGAATTGAACTGACAGAAGTGACATCAGATATTTGATTACTTCAAAAGAATGATGAAGATGTCTATAAAACGCAGGTGTCCCTACTGTTAAAAACTTGAAATTTCACGTCGATAATTTTCAGATTTCGAAATAATGTAATATCTTCCCAATATTGATTCGTCCTTCCTTCTGTCACAGAAAAAAATAGTGTATTATACACGGGAAAAATATTAGATTTTAGCTCACGGTTTTTTGTCTCCCTCCGCTACGCGTCGGGAGACAACACAACCTGGAGCTAAAATTTACTACTTTTTTCCCTTGTATAATAAATAACTATTTCATCACATGGTGGACGCGAATTCTCAATGTATTTCTTTATATATATATCCATTTTTTTGTGTTCATAAATATATCTGAGAATACTCCTTTTCAATAGTATAACATTGATTAAGATTTGTTTGCAAATGTATAATTGTATTTCCTTTGAAACTTCAAGTCATCGAAATCTATATGTCAGATGATCTAAAATTCTACGTCTTACAGATTCGAACAATTATTATGATCTGCAAATCATGCCAACACCAAAAACAGAATTCTTCATATAATGTCTTACCTTGCTCGGTAGACACTGTCCCACTTCTAAATCCGCCTTCATATCAACTAGAATTACTCTGCCGTTCTTTGAATCTGAGCCTGATCTGACGACATAACAAACAAAAAAAGGATACACCAAAATATCGGGATTATATGGACATTTCACATATTTACCTTCGAAAATGTTAACCGTAACTATTTACTATCTGACTATCATTTCGAATGTGTGAGGAACGTTTATGAAGTCGATGTACATAAAACATCAGGAGTATAACAATGATTAAGTAAGTGTGAATAATTATTTGAATTTTTCAAAAACAGAATTTTTCAAGTAATGTCTTACCTTGCTCGGTTGACACTATCCCACTTCTGAATCCGCCTTCATATCAACTAGAAATATTAGAATTACTCTGGCGTTCTCTGATTCTGAGCCAGATCTGACGACATAACAAATCAAAAAAGGGATACTCAAACACGCTAAAACATATCGGGATTGCATGGACTTTTCACATATTTACCGTCAAAAATTTTAACCGAAACTAGTTACAGCCTGACTATAATTTCGATTGTGTGATAAATGTTTTTGAAGTCGATGTACATAAAACATCAGGAGTATAACAATGAATAAGTGAGTGTGAATAATTATTTGAATTTTTACATATTATCTCGTCGAAATCTTATAAGATAGGTAGATATGATTTTGTTCGAGTTTGATCTGTTTGTATACACCTTCGTCATAGAATACTCAAACCAGCTCTACAAGATATCGAGATTTTATTGACTATCTGACAGAACTATGTCGAATGTGTGAGAAACGATTTTGAACTCGATATACGAAAAACATCATATCAGGAGAAATATAATGAAGATGATCTAATTTTCTTCGGGTTTGATCTGTTTGTATCCTTCTACGTCTAACAGATTCGAACAATCATTATGATTTGCGAATCATGCCAACACCAAAAACAGAATTCTTCAAGTAATGTCTTACCTTGCTTGGTAGACACTGTCCCACTCCTGAATCCGCCTTCATATCAACTAGAATTACTATGCTGTTCTTTGAATCAGAGCCTGATCTGACGACATAACAAACAAAAAGGGATACCCCAAAATATCGGGATTATACGGGCTTTCTAGATATTTACCGTCGAAAATTTCAAACTATTTACAATCTGACTATCATTTCGACTGTATGAGAAACGCATTCGAACTCTATATACAAAAAACATCATATCAGGAGAAATAGGATAAGGATGATCTAATTTTGTTCTGGTTTGATCTGTTTGTATCCTTCTATGTCTCACAGATTCAAACAATTATCATGATCTGCAAATCATGCCAACACCAAAAACAGAATCCTTCAAGTAATGTCTTACCTTGCTTGGTAGACACTGTCCCACTTCTGAATCCGCCTTCAAATCAACTAGAATTACTCTGCCGTTCTTTGAATATGAGCCTGATCTGACGACATAACAAACAAAAAAAGGGATACACCAAAATATCGGGATTATATGGACTTACTAGATATTTACCATCGACAATTTCAAACTATTTACAATCCGACTATCATTTCGATTGTATGAGAAACGCTTTTGAACTTGCTATACAAAAAACATCATATCAGGAGAAATAGAATAAAGATGATCTAATTTTCTTCTGGTTCGATCTCTTTATTGTATCCTTCTGCGTCTTACAGATTCGAACAATTACTAGGATCTGCAATTCATGCCAACACCAAAAAAAAATAATTCTTCAAGTAATGTCTTACCTTGCTCGGTAGACACTGTCCCACTTCTGAATCCGCACTCATTTCAACTAGAACGACTCTGGCGTTTTGTGGACCGCTTCTGACGTATCTGATCTGACGACATGCCTCAGAAGAGCCACTTCCTCGAACCGGTTCTGAGTCGGGACTGCCGCATAGCCCAATAGCCCGGGCCGATCCGGATGCTGAGTGTACCATCGGATGCCTCTTTTTGCGCGCGCATGCGTGATGGACGAATCGATATGGGGCAAAAAATGAGGAGCGCTGATGGCGGTAAGTCGGATGGCACGGGTTTTAAATGTTTTTTGATCCTTTTGATGAAAAATTGATGATCAAAGATTGCTTCCGCAGCATCATACGTACAGGGTGTCGAGAGCAATGAGAGATGATCTAATCGTTGATCCTCAGTCCATGAGCTCTAACAGGGAAAAACTCTGATTAGTCGACTACCTCAAATAATTCCGGAAATCAACCTAGTTGATTTTTTTAATAGAGGAAATAAGTGGACTCAAAACCCAGATAGCACAAGTATATAAATTCAAAGAATTTTTATGGAAGCACATGATAAACATTTGAATGTTCTCAGGATATTTCCAAAATACATTTGAATATTCTATGCACCTTGAATGTACATCCAAAGTTTGTTTTTTTCATGTTCTGGTTCCCACGAAAAGGGATATCCTGTAATGTTCAGAAAACATCGTGAGAACCAAAGTTAATGAGGTATGAATTGGTGTTCTTCTTAAATTTTTGGAGGTTATATGCCTCGGGGAACACCTCCCATGGCAATGTGTTCCAGAGCCTCTCCAAAGTGACCACGAAAGGGTGCGAAGCCTCAAGTCGATGGGTTAATCTCGCAGGGGCTGCCAAGGGAGGAACAATTGTTGATATTCCAGAAGATCATCGTCCATGAAAATATCTATAAAATAGAGCCAGATCGCCAACTTTTCCACGGTGTTCCAGAGTAGCGAGCGAGTTTGTGAGCGAGGCATCACCCACGAGACGAATTGCCCTTTTTTGAACAGAAACCAACAGTTTCAGGGTATGTTTGGGTGCTGCACTCCAAATATGGGTACAGTATTCCAAGACAGGTCGGATCTGTGCCTTATAGATCATAAGCAGCTGACTGAAACTGAAATAGCTCCTGGCTCGAAACAGAAAACCAAGTTTTTGGGATGCACTTTCAACACCATCCAACCATGACATGTTCTTTGCATCTGACTGTACATACTCATGGACATACCTCTGCCCTGAAAAAGTGAACAATCGAATTGGTCAATTTGTGTTACTTTTTTAGTATTCCTGAAATTTTATGCTCTTAGTCTACTATAGTCAACTTTCTGAAATACGAAATGTAACGAAATTCGAGGACCGGACTTGCAGAATTTCAATCTAAGATCTCTTTAAAAAAGCGCTAACTCTTTAAATGGAAGATGGAGGGAGTGTAACGGAATTCAACGATCTTGGTCTCATTATGAAGGGTTTCTTTGGTTCTTCCAGATGAATCACGAATCAAGTCGATTTAAATCCTGTGGTGGCCGCTAGATGGCATCGGTTGATAAGTCAGACAATTTGCCATTTTTTTCGAAAATTTCAAATGGAACCATATAATTATTCATTCTACTCTAATATGAAAGTATAGCAAACGAGAAGGAAAATGGTGAAAACCGCGAATTGATACCTCTTAAGGAACCGCGGTGAAATACTCGAAATAATATTATGAAAATATTCACCACAGGAATCTAACTTCAATAATCGTAATCAAAAATATCCTGTATCTATGAAATTATGATTTCAATAATTCATTTATTTTGGTTTCACAAACTGCTGTTATATCTCACAATAGTGAAGGAGACTCTTAGTAATGACATAGCTAATTTGAATGAAAGAAATGTCAAAATATAATTGAAGTTCCATTGGAAGTTTTCACGGGTCATTGTGGATTGCTTATTTATCAAAATGCCGATAACGAATGAGGAGGCATTTGACATGCTATATTTGAAGAGCTAGCGCAATTGTTTTCGATCGAAATGATTGGAAATCAACTCGAGAACATGGAAAAAGTATTTCTGATATGTCTTGAAACATCAAATTTTCAAAAAAACCCGATTTTTAAGTTGACCAGTGCAATTATGCCCTCTAGCGGCTGTCCTGGAAACTTGAAAATAATTTCCAGAGATTTTTCTTGGCCACTTTTATCATAAATATTTTTTTCCGAAACCTGTGCGGCAAATATTTTCCGAGATACAGCAGGCGTCCTTCCTTAGTGGTACACCCGGTACATTTAGATGCATTATGTTTATTTTGTTTTAGGACAACCGGTATATGTTGGACATTCAAAAGGAGTCGCATGGAATGAGAACCTGCAGCGTTATCTCAACACAACATCATCCAACTTGGTGCGTTCATATTCAGATCCAACTTGGCATTCGATACGAACTCTATGAATACCATAGTAGGTGTTGAGGATGAGGCATTTTTCTGAATCTAGGCAAAGTAAACAAAAGTGCAACTCGAGACTGTAGAACTTTTATGAAAAAAGATTCTCATTTATCCCGTGAAAAGGGTCGATTATTTTCACTGATGAATGGATGGCTGAAGTTTCATGTTTCCAGAAGCGTTCTTTCATCGCTGTGTAAGAGGGTATTGCATGAAAGATATCTTCTGCTGGTTTCATCTCAACCATGAAAAGTATAATAAGTATTCACTAGTTTCAATAGATGTTTACTTTAAATCTCTCCATATTCGTGCGTATATATATTTTATAAGTATCAATTTGCAATTGAATGATATTATGTTTTCCAAAATAAAATATTATGAACCGTATGTACAGGGTCTTCACGTATATTTTGAACCCCCCCTTAACTATATTTTATTTATCATCGAATTTTGTTTCCAGAGAACAGCCTTTTATAAGTTTTGATGTAGATTTTGAATATGTTAACAGAAAAACAATTGATCATCTCAAAAAAAAGTTATGGGCAAGATGTACACATTTTATATTCCCATATTATCAGATTCCTCACTCCTATATTTCATTCTGATCCCTAATGTTTTTTATTGTTGCCATTCCATAGTACACTTGGAGCTTCATTAGCGTCTGAAATATTTGTATTTATTTAAATGTCACCTTGTATAGGTTCTAATGAAACTTTCCATTTTGAGTCAAATTTTTATCTGTGTGTGTGATTCTCAGAGGACGCTTATACATGATATAAGTTCAGAAGTTGGGATAAGTGATTTACATAGCCTTCAGCTTCAGTAATATAATACGAATAGAGCATCTTGCAGCTTCAATATATCAAAAACAGATATCACAAAGTTCCAAAACTTCAAGTCGCCTCTATAGATGCGGAAATTACCAACATATTGAGAGTAAATCTAGCACAAGATGCTATATATAGGTAGGTATATGTGATTAGGAATTGATATCGGGCGAAATAAGGAAGAGCCAGATAAAATGCATTTTCCATAATTATACGTGGTGTTTCAAGAAAAGTTACCCCCTTGCTAGAGTAGGTAGAACAATAATGCAAAATAAGTTGGGTTTGCTCAGTGAAAAACAGATCGTAACGAAATCCGATTTCAAGATGCGAGAAGAAACGACCATTTTGAATGAAATTCTGGATTTCTTCCATTCTATCCAGACTCGTGACACAGTTGTCCATATCAAAACTCATGAGAAGTTGATTAATTATTGATCTTGTTTCATTATTCTTTGAACTTTCCAGGCAATGTTTGAGATATCGAACTCCGAAAACTACCCTCGCATGACGATAAGTTTTCAACGCGCCTGTATCATCAAACCATAAAAAAACAGGATATGTGATGAGATTAACTCAATCAAATTCATGCCTCTTTCCAGACACTGGTTCAGAGATGCCTGATGATTTTTCTGCTTCGAAGAAACATCAAAAACAAGCCGTATCTTGGTAGTTGCGCTGATTTCATTCACAACATGACGGTGAGGTAAATGATGTCCCTCTTTCATCAAATTCATCGAATGTCGATTAAACCTATCTATTTTTTGTGGCCATTTTGTGTGGCTTGTCATTATGTCGGGTGGTAACTAGAGAAAAAATAGACCTATGCAAAAGTGTGACCATTGTTTTTTCGCGCCATTCATTAACGAAAGTCCGTAATAATAATTTCAAACGAGAATAAGAACTCTAACTTATTTTAAGCCCTTGTGTGGCTTGTCATTACTTCACATTAAGCCCTTCATTTATTTCTAGGTGTTCTGTGTAGGCTACGTTTCTGACTCCATGAGCCACTTCAGGAGCAGCACTGTTAATAAGAACGCAGTAGCGAATCGAGAAAAGACTATCCCCAGCCGATGCTCCGGAACTTAACAATATTTAATTCGTAAATTACACATTGAGAATCAAACCTAACTCAGCCTATCAAAGGACACCCATAGAAAAAATATAGGGATCAAATAATATCCAGGGTGAGAATCTTTTTCCACCCAAAGATCTACACTGTAGCAATTCTGACGTCACCTCTGTACAAATTTCCGTGCGGAAGGACCGGAAGGTGGAAGTCGATTTTTATCACATTTCCAAGATCAAATTTCTTCGGTAATCAGAAGATAAATCTGATATGGAAATATCCGTTAGCCTACATCTCATTGATTTACTATATGAACTCATTTCAAAAACACCTCGTATACATATGAAAATGAAAGAAAATATCCTTAAACGTTTTTTTCACTCCACCCCGTATACCTACTATCGATATCGGAATTCGTCATACTTGTTCGAATTTTAACTTCAACCTCAAAAACTGCCTTTTTAAAAAGCAAAATTACGTTTATTACGGAATTGTACAATCAAGAATTCTCTTCGAAAGATAGACAAGGAATGAATTGTGAATATAAAAACTAAATCAAGCTGGCTCGCAGAAATCTCGTGAGGAGATGGTCTTCTCGGAATAGTCTCATGTTTCTCTTGTCGTCGCGGCATGTTTTTGATAAGGAGCATCATGTAACTCCTCCCTCCTCAAGATGAAAAAATAACGGAGTTATTTTTGGACGTGGTCGCTTCTGGAGTTTCTTGAACCTTCTTGCAGTTTGGGAAGAATTTGTGGTACATCTGCTTCATTTTTGGTAGGAATAGTGCAATAATTGCTACAATTATTATTGCAATTATTAT